ATTGGGGAAGGGGAACAGACAGGTTTCTGTCCTTTTGTTCTTCAGTCTAGTTGTGGAGGACGTTGCTTCACTGGCCCAAGTTGGCATCATCATTGTGCTCTTCCTGGGCAAGGCAGATCAGTTGCCGGCTTCTGGATGGCTGCTCATGGCGGCTTGAGGGCTGCTCACGCTGGCTGCTGGCTACACACGGTAGCCCATGGCAACCCACTGCCACAGGGGCTGCAGCCCACGCCGTCGCCGGCGACTCACGGCAGCCCAGCTCCAGGTTGAGCTGTTGTTCAGCATCTTAGCTGTAGAGGGCAGTGTCACTGGCCCTCATATGTGGGATCCGAACCGGGGACCTCTGGCATCCCAAGCCAGTTCTTAACCATCGTGCCACTCGGCCAGCCCTCTTTTCTTTTTTTTTAGCTGAGCCATCCTGCCACCTGTTGGCAGCTCAGCAGCATCTCAGCTCGGGCTGGGCATCGAACCGGTGGCCCTGTTGCTCAGAGCTCTCACTCTTGAGTGAGCTCTTAACCAACTGAGCCACTCAGTCAGCCCCTGCTACAAACATTTTCATGCATGTTTTTTACTGAGCAACTGTATGCATTTCTATTGGATATAATGCCAAAAGTGGAATGGCTGGGTCCTAGACTATGCATATGTTCAGCCTTAGCAGATACTGTTTTTTATTTCATTTATTTTTTTAAATTTACATAGACTCAATTTTGTTTTGGTGTAAAGTTCTGTGAGTTTTGACAAATGCATGGAGTCATGTGACCACTACCACATCAGGGTTAAACAATAAAAATTACCCCAAATTTCTTCATGCTGCCCCTTTATACGCAACCCCTCACCCACCCTTTTCCCTGACAAAAACTGATCACTCTCTATAATTTTGCTTTTTTCAGAATGTCATGTAAATGGAACTATACAGTACGTAACCTGTGTTAGACTGGTTCCTTTCATTTGGCACTGTATATTTCAGATTCATTTTTGTTGTTTATATGTACTTAATTCATCACTTTTTATTACTTAGTAGCATTCCATTGTATGGATCACAATTTGTTAATTCATTTATCTGTTGAAAGACATTCCTTTTTTCCTTTAAGGCTTCTGTAAACGTACAGGTTTGTGTGTGAAGGTAATTTTTCATTTCTCTAGAATAATCACTAAGGAACGTTAGTGTGTTTGGTGTTTTGTTTAGCTTTATAAGAAACTGCAAAATTGTTTTCCAGAATGACTGCCGCATTTCAAGTTCCCATCAGCAATATATGAGAGCTGCAGTTGCTCTGCATGCTCACCAGCACTTGGTATAGTCGGGTTATTTCATAAGCCATTCTGATAGTTATGCAGGGATTTCTGATTGTGGTTTTCATTTACATTTCCTTAATGACTATCATGTTGAACATATTTTCACATGCTTATTTGCCATCCTCAGATAGTTACTTTATGTATTCTGTCCAGGGTTTAGTTGTAATTCTTGGGAGGATAGGGTAAAGTGTGCTTACTCCATCTCAGCCAGACCCAGAAGTCCACAATACCTATGGAATTGAATTTGAGTATCTTCTTCAGAGAATGTGATTTAGACAGCACAGCAAACAAATGGGGCATTAACAGCATGAGGACACCAGATGATATGAATACATCTCAAGGTCACCTCCTCTTTGAGTCATGTCTCCCAGTTCGTTGAGAGCCTGTGTTTTGTATGATAAACCCCTACAAACTTCAAGTGGGCAAAATAACTTGTGTGAGTTCATTAAAAATGCACCTCACACCCGTTTCCTGATTGTCAACCCATTTTGCTTTCTAAGGACACAAGTTTACCCATTTCCCTTAGATTATGGTATTTTAAACTGTTATCATAGAAAGGACCTGGGTCTGCTTTGGTCCTTTGTCCTTTTGCATAATTCTACTGGAAGGACATCAAGTTTGATTTGACCTAATAGTTCTCAGGGTAGGGAAACAGGCTTTCCCTAACGTCCACACACTTCTCAGGTAGGCTGCCTTAGCGACAGAATGGGTAGGCATGGGTCGCGATGATCAGCTGTGACAATACATTTGCCAAACTGGAGCCGCTCTCAAAACATACTATTTCTGGTGTAGGCAGAGCTGAAGTCTTAAGATGCCCAAGAAGAAGAGGGAAAAGGGGATCAAATATATGGTGATGGGAGGAGAAATGACTCTGGGTGGTGAACACACAATGCGATATATAAATGATGCTTTATATAAACGTACACTTGAAACCTGTATAATTTTACTAACCAATATCACCCCAATAAATTTCATTTAAAAAAGATGCCCAAGTATTGCCATCCACCCTCATTTATTGTGTGGGATTACTTGAACCCGCAAGTACTATTCTAGGAGGATGTCAGGCATTTGGAATGGCTCCATCAATTCATCAGGTTATTAGACTAGCGCTGCTCCAAGTGTGGCCTGAGCATGGTAGCCTCATCATCACCTGGGAACTTGTTAGAAACCATGATGCTTACGCACCTCCTTCTGAATCAGCCTTCCGGGGGTGGCACAGAAATCTCCTGCATTCTGAAGTTGAAGAAGCACTGATGAGCAACATACCACAACGCTGAATCTCAAAGTCAGGAAGAGGAAATGAGCCGCCTCTGCCGATATGTTCACATTTCTGCTGAGTGTTGATATATTACTCGTTGAGGACCAGACTTCCCTAAACCTGCACCTAGAACAGGAAGAATGAGAATGGCTTCAGTAACAGCAGCGAGCAAGACACCCGGCTTCCAGGAGAGTGTGCAGCCCTCCTTTTCTAATCATAGGTGGTAAAGTGTTATTGTGCAGGGCAGGGAAAATTACAACCCTAGTTTTGAACTATCTTAAAGGAAATGTACACACAATAAAGTAATCTTTAAATGAAGACACTTATTTTCCTTATAATGAATGTTTTCAAAAATTATCTTCAGAAAACATGAGGAAAAAACAAGCAGAGCTATTTGTGGCATATTTCCCTCAGGAAAGATATTGTTTTCTGAGCATAAGGCCACGGCAAAGCGAGCAAGTTCTATAGTAATTCGGACTATAATCTCAGTCGTGAGCCTAGTTAAAGGCATTCTGAGAGCTGAAATCAAGTAAACTGGCAAACTGGCAAAAAAGACCGAAGCTGTCTTCTAAATCTGGTCAGATGCTGTTAATAAATATTTATTGAGTACTTATTATGTGCAGAGTGTGTGCTTCGCACTGAAGCTGACCATCATTATACCAATTTGGAAGTATGATAAGTCGCCTTATAAAATGTCCACCAAAACCCATGTAGGCGATGAAAGGCGATACTCCCCACTTTGCTACCATCGCCCCACTCCCCATCAACGTGTGTTTTCTTCGGGAAGCCGGTAACTACTGATTTAGCATGAGGGCCACAGCATTTTCATTGTTTCTTTGTTTCATCCAGCCATGGAGATGCTGATTCACCCTCCCCGCTCCCAGTTATTACCAAGAGCATGCATTTTGCAAGCTGATGAATTGAAATCTGAGGTGCAAAGTGTGGACGTGGAACTAAGCTAAAGGAGGTTATTATGCAGAAGGAATTTATTTTGGGGAGAATTGTCTGTCCCTGCTGTTCAAACTGTAAACACCAGTTACATATCATATAATACTTTTAACTGTTTTTCCAATTAATTTCTCTATGAAAAATTCATCAGCAGTGAATTAGTCATTACATCTTATCTCGTTCTTGGGACTGGAGCCCAGGTGCATCACCAGCTTCAGTTCCCACCATGCCCCCAGACTTCAATGGCAGCTTATTTAAAGAGGATGGAGTGTGCTGGCTCTGAAGCCAGAACTGCAGAGATCTTTGGCACATTGCACATGCAGCCCCTAGAGGAATCATAGCTGACTACCCATCTTCCTACCGCCAGAATCTCAGGCAGATGAGCAGCCTAAGAAGAGGGAGAGGATTGGTTAAAAGGTGACGGTGCTGACGAATGGTTCAGCTGGGCACTGCCTCCATCCAGGAACACCTGGGGAAGCCAAAAGCAGGACAGGGAATGCTGGGATGAAAGGCTGGGTGACTAGGTGCCTGGGATCCCTTAACACCTCATCATGCCCCTCTGATTATTTCCTTATGTTTGGAAAGAAATTGTGGTGCTATAGGATGTGTTTCAGAAAGAGGAGACGGAAACAATCCCCTCCAATGAGCCAGAGGGAATTTTTCTTTGGTCGTGAGAGGGCTTTGTTTATTTGCGTCTGTCCCAGGGTTGGCTCCAGCATTATTCCAATGTCGTCACTGATCAGCAGTGGCTCCCGTTGCTGAAAGATTTGGAGAGTCCATTTGCAGACATCAATTCACAACGGGAGAGGGCCCAACTCTGTATGACTAAGACCAGACTTTCCTAAGCCTGCCAGGCCTGAGGACCCCATAATGCCATTAGAAATACCTCTAAATCACTGTATGATTTTACCTGTTCCTAGGGTTCGTTGATTGAGAAAATGTTTGTACTAGGATAAAAAAATGACAATAGTTTTTCAAACATAATTTAAAATGATTTTGTATTTGATTAATCATCACACCTGCAGACATTTAAAAACAGCTGTCCATATGTAGAAAGACCTATTTTTATTCATTATGCAGCTGATACTCGGTGAGTAGAAGGGTTAAAGCGTCCTGTTGCATAGCACTGAGTCTTCCTGAGCGTCCACAAAGCACGGATTTGAAACCAGTGACTTAGACAATGAATACTTATCAAATAAACAGATGGATAAATACAAAATAAATAAATAAATAAATGGGGGAAAACAAACCTGGACTTATTAGTAAAAACAGAAGGAAGTAGACCTCTTCGCTGAGTCTGGAATGACAGTAATTTTGGTTGGTAATTTATTTTGCGATAATTCATGTTACTGCTATGAACATCTGTGATGAATTTAACGGCACTCGTTTCTTTTGGGTCAACAAACTGTATTAGTAGAGCAATCAGATGAAATAAGTCATCTTTAGAAGTCAATTTTAGTTATTAAAATGGTGATTCTAAAGATTTTTGTTTTCTCTTTAGGTATTCAGGGCTGCAGACCATGCAAACATTTGTGGCTTTGAGATGTAACGTTGCCAGGGTGGATACACGTGCCCTATGTGCCCTGAGTGAGGATGGAAGGTAATTTGATGCCCCCTACCATACCACCTCTGGTGTTGATGGGATGATGCCCACGCATAAAGTGAGGGAAACACCTGTTTAAAGAGGGATGTCAGATCCTAGCAGAGCCATGCTACAGCTACTACTTCTCTAGCTCCCCATTCAGCTCTGAAGCACGAATCCCCATCTAGGATCTCTGGGGGTGATGATGGGGACTCCAGTTGCCATTAAGTGGAATTTTGAGCAAAGGATGAAGCATCACCTGAATCTTATCTTGGTTTGGCCCATCTTTTCTCTTTGAAGTCCCCAGAGTCACTGTGCCCACCGTGGACAATGACCAGGGAAGAAAGGTACCATTTCTTTTCAGTGAGCCTGGGCCTGAAACTCCAGTGCAGCGTTTTCTAGGCGACTGGACTAAAATCCATGGCTTAGACCCAAGGCAGGAGGCAGAGTTCATCATTCCTTTCATCCCAAGCCCCACCTTCAAAATGTTACCACCTTTATGGAAACTATTAGGAATATGAGGCTGGGGGTATTAGGAGTAGGAGTATTATAACATGGGAGAGCAAAGAAAGGCAGGAAGTCAGACACCCAAGGCCAGATTCTGCTCCACACAGGCAAGAGAAACAGACATACACCATGTACTTGACTCTCTAACACACAGGGTCAAACACACACTCGAGTACTAGACTCTGAACCACTCAGATTACCGAGAGCTGCTTTGGAGAGGACCTAGAAAGCAGGTGGGAAGAAGGCAAAGGTCCTCTGCTTTCTCTGCAGTACCTATGGCTCTCATTCTACAAGACAGACCATTGTCCACGTATGCATTCTACCTTGGAAGATACATCACTTTGAAAATCTTCACACAATGAAATTTTCAGGCAGATGAAATTCTGCTCACAAACTTTTTGGCACAAGAAGCTGCATGGAAACAGTCTTTGACTTCCTGAAGCAGAAGAATAATCAGGCTCATGCTGGCATTTGATGAGTTAAGTGAACTGAAATATGAAGTCTGACAAATTTGTTAATGGAATTGCCTTTAACCAAGAGGATCAACAAAATCCATAGGAAGTAAATCTTTGCTTCATCTCCTGCTGCTGTTATTGACAGAATTATGGAGACATATTTTTTGTTTGCAGCAAGCCAATGAATTGCTTGATTTTATAAAAACTGGATAAAAACAGTATCTAACTCTAAGGAGAGAAGAATGTTCTAGAATGGTGCTGCCCAATAATTTGCATTGTCCAATATGGTAGCCAGCAGCCACGTATATTATAGTTATTGAGCATTTAAAATGTGACAGTATGACTGAGTAATTGAATGTTTATTTTTTTATTGTTATACAGTACAGTTTCAGGTATACAGTACAATGCAATAGTTACCCTTTTCACCCTCACAAAGTAACCCCCCTCTCCCTCTCTATTGCCCTCACCCCCCCGATATCATGCTTATCTATTACAATTGCATTGACTCCATTCCCACTCTCTATTCCATGTCCCGTGACTATATGTATATATCATTATAGTTGACATACAATATTATTCAACATCAGCTTCAGAAATACAGTGTGGTGGTCAGACCTCTACACCGACTGTGAAGTGGTCTCCCCCACAAGACATGTTTAATCTAATTTAATTTTAAACAATTTGATCTTAAATAGCCACATGTGTCTAAGGACTACCATATTGGAAAGCACAGTTCTAGAAGAACTGTTTCCATTCATGTGTACTATATTTTATTAAATATACCATAGGCACAAAAGAGTATATAACGTATGAGTATATAGTTGAAATAATAATAAAATAATCCATGTACCCTTCAACCTTTCTCTTTTTTTTAAGATTTTTATTGGGGTATTGGGGGAAGGGAACAGTGCTGGGGAATTGGGGGAAGGGGAACAGACAAGTTGCTGTCGTTTTGTTCTTCAGTCTAGTTGTGGAGG